TGCCATTTTCCACTTATCTGGCACCATGCCAGTTTGTAGTTGATATGTTGAAAAGATTAGCCCAAAAGGTGTGCTAAGCTCCTCTTTACATTCCTTTAGAACCCTTGCATACAGTTCATCAGGGCCTGGGGATTTGAGAGGGAGAGAGAGGACCTAGTAGCAATCAGTGAAGAGGCGGGGCCAGGGCTATGACTCGCCCCCCTGCAACCACAAATAGGTGAGTACAAATAGGTGAGTACACACACAACACACACACACACACACACACACACACACACAACACACACACACACACACACACACACACACACACACACACAACAAGCGACAGTATAAAAATAACATAACATCGAAAGTCAAGACGACCCGAAACTGTTGTATAACCACATCAGGAGGAAGACAACAGTCAAAGACCAGGTGATCAGACTGTGGACAGAAGGTGGGGAACTCACAAGAAATGATCAGGAGGTATGAAAGGAGCTAAACAGGAGATTTAAGGAAGTTTTTACAGTAGAGAACAGGAAGGGCTCTGGGAAGACAGTACAGAAGGGAACATCAAGAGGGAATATACCAACAGTGTTGGAAATGACATACGAACAACCGAGGAGGAAGTGCAGAAGCTGAAAAAGTGACCTTGATACCTAAAAGGGGCGATGGGACCGGAAACATCTCCTCATGGGTCCTTAGAGAAGGGCAGAGATGCTGTGTGTGCCCCCTAACCACAATCTTCAACACATCCCTTGAAACTGGCAAAATACCTGAGAAATGGAAGACAGTCAAAAGTAGTCCCCTATTTAAGAAAGGAAACAGAGACGATGCACTAAACTACAGACCTGTGTCTCTAACATGTATAGCATGCAAAGTCATGGAGAAGACTATCAGGAGGAGAGTGGTGGAACACCTGGAACAGAACAAGATTATAAAGGAAAACCAGCATGGGTTCATGGAAAGCAAATCCTGTGTCACAAACCTTCTGGAGTTTTATGACAAGGTAATAGAAGTAAGACACGAGAGAGAGGGGTCGGTTGATTGCATTTTCCTGGACTGCAGGAAGGCCTTTGACACAGTTCCTCACAAGTGATTAGTGCAGAAGCTAGAGGATCAGGCGCATATAACAGGGAGGGCACTGCAATGGATCAGGGAATACCTGACAGGGAGGCAACAACGAGTCATGGTACGTGGAGAGGTATCACAGTGCGCGCCTGTGACGAGCGGGGTCCCACAGGGGTCAGTTCTTGGACCAGTGCTATTTTTGATATATGCGAACGACATGTTGGAAGGAATAGACTCTGAAGTGTCCCTATTCGCAGATGATGTGAAGCTGATGAGAAGAATTAAATCGGATGAGGATGAGGCAGGACTGCAAAGAGGCCTGGACAGGCTGGACGCGTGGTCCAGAAACTGGCTTCTCGAATTCAGCCCTGCCAAATGCAAAGTCATGAAGATTGGGGAGGGGCAAAGAGAACCGCAGACAGAGTATAGGCTAGGTGGACAAAGACTACAGACCTTACTCAGGGAGAAAGACCTTGGGGTGACCATAACACCGAGCACATCACCGGAGACACACATCCACCAAATAACTGCTGCAGCATACGGGCACCTGGCAAACCTGAGAATAGCGTTCCGATACCTTAATAAGGAATCGTGTATGTTAGGCCCATACTGGAGTATGCAGCACCAGTCTGGAACCCACACCTGGTCAAGCACGTCAAGAAGTTACAGAAAGTACAAAGGTTTGCAACAAGGCTAGTCCCAGAGCTCAGGGGAATGTCGTACGAGGAAAGGTTGAGGGAAATCGGATTGACGACACTGGGGGACAGAAGGGTCAGGGGAGACATGATAACGACATACAAGATACTGCAGGGAATAGACAAGGTGGACAGAGACAGGATGTTCCAGAGAGGGGACACAGAAACAAGGGGTCACAACTGGAAGCTGAAGACTCAGACGAGTCACAGGGACGTTAGGAAGTATTTCTTCAGTCATAGAGTCGTCAGGAAGTGGAATAGCCTAGCAAGTGAAGTAGTGAGGCAGGAACCATACATAGTTTTAAGAAGAGGTATGACAAAGCTCAGGAAGCAGAGAAGGAGAAGACCTAGTAGCGATCAGTGAAGAGGCGGGGCCAGGAGCTGAGTCTCGGCCCCTGCAACTACAATTAGGTGAGTACACACACACACACCACACACAATATATATATATATATATATATATATTATTATATATATATATATATATATACATGTATATATATATATATATATATATATATATATTATATATATTATATTATTATTATATTTTATATATATATTTTATATTATTATATATATAAATATTATATATATATATTTTTTATATATATATATATATATTATATTATATATTTTATATTATTATATATATATATTATAATATTATATATTATATATATATATATTTTTATATAATATATTATATATATATATGTATATATATATGTATATATATATATATATATATATATATTTTATATATATATATATATATATATATATATATATATATATATATATTATATATATATACAGTAGTCCCCCGCTTTTCGTAGTTCCCCGGCAATTGTAAAATTCGCCAATCATAAGGTATTTTCGTATAAACATGGACTCGCTTTTCATAGGTTGACTCGCGAGTGGTAGTTCGTCTGGACGCTCCCCACGGCGTGAGCCGGGGCGGCAGCCGTCTGGCATTGTTTACCAGTGAGTGAAGGTCCCCTCACGTGCTCCAGCGAAATATTTCATAAAATTCCATTTATTTTAGTGCTTGCAAGTACTAAATAAGCTACCATGGCTCCAAAGAAAGCTCCTAGTTTCCAAGCTTGTGGTAAAAGAAGGTGTGAAATACGATTGAATTTAAGAAAACCATCATTGAACAATATGAAAGTGGTACAAGTGTGGCCGAACTGTCCAGGATATATAAGAAACCCTACCACAACCTTATGTTCCATAGTGGCCAAGAAAAAGGAAATGAAGGATGCTGTTGTTGCGAAGGGAGTAACTATGCTGACAAAAATGAGATCACCAGTACTGGAAAAGGTTGAGAAGTTATTATTGGGGGTGGATAAATGAGAAACAATTAGCAGGGATACTCTTATGACTTCGATTATTTGTGAAAAGGCTAGGCAGTTGCATGAAGATTTGGTAAAGAAAATTTCCTGCAATAGTGGGAAGTTAGTGAATTTAAGGCCAGCAAAGGCTGGCTTGAGAGATTTAAGACCGTACTGGCATACACAGTGTGGTAAGGCATGGTGAGGCTGCTAGTTCGGACCACAGGGCGGCTGAAAAATATGTGCATGAGTTCCAGGAGTACATAGAAGCTGAAGGACTGAAACCTGAACAAGTGTTCAATTGTGACGAAACAGGCCTCTTTTGGAAGAAAAATGCCAAAGAGGACTTTCATTACACAAGAGGAAAAGGCAATGCCAGGACACAAGCCTATGAAAGACAGGCTGACACTAATGTTCTGTGCTAATGCTAGTGGGGATTTCAAAGTGAAGCCATTACTAGTGTACCATTCTGAAAATCCCAGAGTGTTCAGGAAAAATAATGTTATGAAGAGTAAATTGTGTGTTTTTTGGGAAAATCTAATAGTAAGGCATGGGTCACGAGGGAAATTTTCGTCGAGTGGTTCAATGAAGTGTTTGGCCCTAGTGTGAAGGAGTATCTCCTGGAAAAGAAATTGGATCTCAAGTGCCTGCTAGTAATGGACAATGCACCTGCTCATCCTCCAAACTTGGATGACCTAATTTTCGAGGAGTTTGGGTTCATCACAGTAAAGTTCTTGCCCCCGAATACCACTCCTCTCCTCCAACCCATGGACCAGCAGGTTATTGCAAACTTTAAAAAACTCTACATAAAAGCAATGTTTCACAGATGCTTGACTGTGCCCACAGACACTCACTTGACCCTAAGGGAATTTTGGAGAGAACACTTCAGCATCCTCCACTGCATAATCCTTATAGGTCTTGTTTGGGAGGGAGTGACTACCAGGACTTTGAACTCTGCCTGGAGAAAATTGTGGCCTGATTGTGTTGACAAGAGGGATTTTGAAGGATTTGGGACTGACCCTAATGAGCCTATGTCTGTTGTAAAATCAATTGTGGCACTGGGGAGTTCCATGGGGTTGGATTTTGAGTTTGGAGGATGTGGAAGAATTGGTGGAAGACCACAATGAAGAGCTCACCACTGAGGAGCTGCAAGAGCTTCAGCAGAAAGAGCAACACATCGCAGCTCAGAATCTTGCTACAGAGGAGGAGGAAGAGAGATGGAAGAAGGTGCCTTCTTCAGAAATTAAAGAGATTTTTACTATGTGGGGTAAGATGGAAAGCTTTATGGAGAAACATAACCCTAACAAGGTTGTTGCAAGCCATATTGGCAACATGTACAGTGACTCCAGTGACAGGACTCCAGTGACTCTCAAGATGGTCCTAGTGGCATTAAGAAACAGAGAAGAGAAGCAACCCCAGAAAAGCAAATGGTACCTGAGGTGTTGATGGAAGAGGATTCCCCTTCCAAACTATAAACAATCCACTCTCTCTCCTCCTCCAGTCTCCCATACACTAAGAAGAATCTCCAATAAAGGTAAGTGTTATGCTGTTAATGTTTCATTCATCATTTCCCATGGTATTGTTTATGTACTACATGCATATTTCATGTTAAAAAATTTTTGTTTTAATACTTCTGGGTGTCAGGAACGGATTAATTGTATTTACATTATTTCTAATGGGGAAAATTGATTCGTAAGTCGTAAATTTCGTTTATAGTAACGGCTCCAGGAACGGATTAATTACAAAAAAACGAGGGACCACTGTATATATATATAATATATATATATATATATATATATTATATATATATATATATATATATATATATATATAGTAATGTATTAATTTTACAATCCTTACAATAATATTCAAAGAATGTCACTTTTTTTATATGAACGGAAAAGTAAACATTATTGGATAAAATGCCATTCTTTTACTGTCACAAAACATTGTTATTTAAATCTGGCACAGGCCGTAGATCATGATATCATTGTCACAGCTGTGGAGGTAGAAGTCAGGTGTGTAGACACAGGCATAGTTGGCGTTAGTTCCTCCGTCAGGCTGGCCTGGCCACCAGGGCGCGTCATCTCCAATGGGTGAGTTGTCGCTATTCCAAACCCATCTGCAGAGAGTGTGATATTAATTACAAGTGAAAAGGTAAGAGTAGTCTTAGAAAAAAAAAGGATAACGAAGATAGCATTTGTGTTGTTGGAAAAGGAGGAATAATATTAATTAATATTAAATAAGGAATTTGATTGCTATTGGACATTGCTGGCGTAAAATTTCAATATTTTAAAAGTTCGTTTAGGATTTTTTCCTAGCAACTGCCTGAGTGTGTTTATTCTGAACGTTTTCAAACCTACAACGATGATGCATCTCACACAGAAGAAATCTCCGTGTAGTTGCAAGCTGTCTCGATGCAAAGTTGTCAGGTTTATAATTAAAAAGGCACGAATTATTTTCTTCCAACTTGTATTCGTAGAATGTCTTTTTTAGTCTGATTCTATAACTGTAAATTTTTTTTAACAAATTTGGATTTTGATTTCCCCGGTAACTGTAGCTTAAATCTGATCATCTTAAACCTCTCATCTTTAGTGTTTTGAACTTACTGGTAGTTTTGGATTGGGATTGTGCTCTATTTCAGGTTGAAAGATTTAATGAACAAATTGTGGGATTACTTAAGAGTGCGTTTTTATGTCGGCTTCAAATTTTCAACAAGTGTATCATTCCTCAAAAGATTCTAGCATTCTTGGTTGGTGCCAGTTTTCCTATTTTAGTTTAAAATTTGAGTTATAGGGCTATCAACAGGAAGACCCGATCTGGCACCAGGCCTTGGTGACCAAGACGCAGACCTACAGTTAATAATAACTAAAACATTATTGTTTATTGTTCTTTAATCGATTGTTGAGCATTAAACTTATATTAAGTTTAATTAAGACAATAAATTTTTAAAATTATGAAATTTACCTTTTCATGGCGTTCTCGAATTTGGCAAATTTATAGCTTGCTCCATTGTCTTCATTTTTTCGAGTGTTAGAGCCTAAATGTTTTCATTGCTGGACTGTGTCCAGTTCCTCCTACTGTGCTTTCGATGGTGTTGATATATTGGTACTGAGCCTATTTGGTCGGTTTAATTATAACTCCCAGGTCCTTGAAGGGCCTAGGAGTTATAACAAGAACTGTGCTCTTGTTTTTTTTCGAATCAAACGTGATTGCCTCCCATTCCCCAGGTGTTGCATAGCATTTATCGGTTTAGCGATTCTCCTTTGAATTTAATATTATAGCTCCTAGATATCTTAGTTAAGCTGCATTTGCACATACATAGGTACAAGGAGGTGGGTATTTGTGATACGGGGGTACCCCTCTACAGGATCAGTGAGGTACAAGGAGGACAGGGGATATGTGATACGAAGATACTTTCGAATCAGATAGCATAACAGGTCTAGCTGTTATGCAAGTCACTTACTTTCCTTCTTCCATAGCATCACTTCCTCCAATCCAGAAGCCTTCATCTTCGTAACCACATTCTGAAAGAAATGGTTTAAGTTGCACCAGTTATATTTTAGATTAAAATTAACAATGATGAAAAGAAAATAAAGTTAAACATCTGAATCTGGCAAACAATTCAGACATTCAACATTGGTGTTTTTTAAACTAATTTTTGATGCTTTGCTGATGGATGATATTCATTTTTTGTGGAATGCATACTTTTTATGAAATGTTTACTTTTCTCCTAACAACCTGGATATCCCTTATTAGTGGCAGGTCTTTGAAGTAAATAGCGGGAAAGTACTGCTTTCTAATAGACTGTGTTTTATTTGTATGCGTAATCTCATCACTTATAAATGTAACACTTTGCAGAACTAGTGAAACAGACATCTTATGCCATTAGATGATGAGTGATAACTTTCTCACCTGGGTGATCGAAGATGTAATTGCGCACCTGTCTGACGAGATCTCCTCTTAGCTCAGCTAGGTCAGCCCCTTCGTCCCTGCACTTGCTTCTGATGGTGGACCACGACCCCTTACTTTCCTTTCCATACATGTAAAACTTTATTTTCACCGGTGCGGAATCAACGGTGAATTCTTGGTAACCTTCGGGGCATAGACTCGCTGGAGAGGAGTTGTTAAAAATAATGGTGTAGGTGTTGTAGAAGGTTGGAACAACTAACTTAATGTAAACTGAAATTAAAATGCTTCAAATTATATTCGTTCGCATTTTTATATAATGCATTGCCAATATACATACTGGAAAATAAACAAGCGGTTGTACATAAAATACCTTATACAACCTAGCTCTAAAGGAACACTAAATTGTTATTATTGGGTGGTTCTGATAAATCCAATTTCTTTGATCTAATAATTTCTGATTTCTGCTCTTTGGTTTCTCTGCAATTCAGTATTATGTACTAGTGATCGAAGTGAACTGAAGCTATACTTATATTATCAAGTCGTGAAGACACCATATTATCACAGCAAATAAGTTTGTACTCCTTTTAATCATTTTAGTGCTTTGTTCTTAGGCATTCTGTGTATCCATATAGCCTTGCGCTACTCTCTACAGGAGGGATATGACATGTACTATGGAAAATTTTCTAGGGTGCTTACCTGTATGTACCTCAACATTATATACATACCAGTAATCTCATTGGGAGACAATCATATTGTTTACCGTAGTCACCCCGTGTAGACATGTGAGAAAACTTAACCACCCCTGGTCGCACCAAGTGGTCCCCTCGACCTCACAATCTTATCCATATCTATCCGAGACCAGTATGGATTGGGTAGCACCCACAAGTACGGTGCTACTAATTAATTGTGGACTGTATAGATTATATTAGTTTAGCTGAATGAAGGGGAGGGGGGTAGGATACACCTGGATACATCCTCAAGGAAAACATTTGTACATAATCCCAATACTTACCAGATGTTCTCTGGTGGTCACTTGATGTAGCTGGATCACTCGTAACCTATCTAATTATAACATACCACTACTGGCCAGTCTAAGTTGCTATAACTAGAAGGGTTACTTAACTGTGGGGGATTGAATTCCTCATTTCTTGATTCACCATCTCATTTTCGATGTCCTGCTACACCGACACGATTCTCATTCCAGCAGGACGAGGTATCCGCTGGTTTGTCCTGCTTTAGACATCGTGATCAAGGAGTTTTCCCTTTCCTCGTCTCGTTAACAACGAGGTCTAGCGTGTTCACTCGGAGCAAACGACTTATTTCACTTCACATATTCTCTTAACTTAGCGTTATTATCATTAATTACATTACAATTCACAAGACGATTAAAACGTCTCATAACTATTATACAAACTAGAGGTCACTCCTTAAGATCTGAGACCGATGCGTGATGATTAATCCAAGGGTAATTTTCCCCAGGACACAGTCCATTGTGGCGCGTCAGTCACCCGGTCCTTCTCTTATCACACTTTTACCACTCTATTACTGTGGTCCCTTTAAATCCCGTTCCCTCACTCTCCACCAGGAACAATTACGACACTTCTTATTATGAAATGAGGCCTGTAATTAATCCTTAGGCCACCGTGAACGTCAATTTCGTGGTTCCATGTTTTCTCAGCTTCCTCACCACCATTCAAAACAATACGCGCCACTCCCTCCCGCACATCCGCGCATGCGCAAAGGGAACTCTTGGTTCTACTCTTATTTTCAAATACATTTTTGACCCATATAGACACATTAAACACCTATTAGGCACTATAGTTTCGGAAAATTAAAAAATTTTCCACATGTACAGTAAACTTGCAGTTTCGGCGAAAGAACATATTAACACTCAAAATTAAACTAGAACACATTACCTTGACCGGGCGTCACTGTGAACGTCACTGAAAAGTAAAACATTTTAATTTTATTAGTAAATTTAGATATGTGGATTCTGTATAAGTAGCTTTGTTTGGGACTATTTGATGTTGGGAAAATTTACTTTTCTTACTTGTAATGCTGATGGCAATATTAGTGAGTTTTAGAGGTGTTTGTTGAGAGTCATGTTAGTGTTTGTGGCTGTGATGGTGAGGATATTAGTGCTATAGTATGACGGAAGTGATGGTCATGGTAGTGTCTGGGAGGGATGGAAGGTTGTGGTTGTGTTAAGGAATGTTATTATTGGTACTGCTTGAGGTGATCGTGTTAGTGTTGGTGGATGTTGCTGACGGCTCTAGTAGTATGTTTTTGATACCTTTGTTATTGTTGGTAGTTTATTGTCAGTAGAGAAGTTGTAAAGCCGTCAAGCCTACAAAAAGACACTATGGTAGGATTATAACATTTAGTAAGGCTAAGTTTCTCTTTGAACTTAAGTTTTTCAGGTATTTAGAGATAAGAAAAAACTTGATAATGTTGGTCTGCTGGTGAGGTATTGTTGGGGTTTGGTAGGGTTAATATTATTGGTGTTGGTATTATTATTTTTATTATTATTTGTGTTTGTGCGATTGTTGTTAGTGATGGTGTTGAAGGAAAGGAATAGAAGTGAAAATAATGAAACAAAAAAGACACAAGAAGCAAAGTCTATGAATTTTAACAGATTTTTAAGATTTATCTTAAGTTAAACACAAGTGTACATACAAATGCCCGGGAAGGGGTTCGGCTTGTCATTAAGCCAAAGGGGGACTGCAAT